CGAACTTAAGAACCTTTGTAACTAAACTGGTTCGAATAAGTCTTAAGCAAATATTGTTTATGGTACTAATAGTTTGGTTACATTTGTTGTAAATACGAGTATATACTTAAGATATCTTAAATCTTATCCGGATACTAATAATACATGGCACAAATTATAAGTATGAAAATATACTAAATATATATACAAACATACTATATATATACAAACACTCGATAAAATACACTCACATAATGGTTAATTTTTTGAATTAAATTTATGAAGAAAAGTTATTTCGGAAAAGATTCTTTTTAATTAAAATAACGCGAAAATTTTGTTAAATATAATTAATTTCATTAAGAGATCTGATTAGAATTTTCAAAATCCCAACAATCCTTTGAGGTCGCCTTTATTAATTAGTAGTTTAGGGTCAAGATCGCTTGAAATTTGTTTATGTATTTGTTAGTCGAAATCACTCTTTATCTTGCCCAAATTTACTTTATTCTATATCTATACGCAGATTAAAGATTTCTTAGCGTTAAAACTTGTAGAAGCTAAACACGGAGCATTTTTAATATTAGTTACGATAAAGGTCAATTTCGCTTCAAGTACTTATATTACAGTTATATTAGAATACTGGAGATCCATCAAATAAATATTAAATTAACATTGGGCTTATTTATCCAAATTTGACCTTTATTTCACTTCTTGCTTATTCCTATAAGTATATCAGAAGATAATAGTAAACCGTGTCGATTATTTTTTAACTCTAAACAAAACATACAACCAGTAAAGTCACTGATAAATAGTTGTTAATAATATTTCAAATCAAGATATATAATTCAAATAATTTATGTCTATATATATTTTGTCTATTATAATTACAAAAAGCGACTCAAAAATTTATTGCTACTAGTAAAAAGCAGGGGCGTTTGATTTTATCAAAGACTCGGTTAAAATGGAACTATTTTTTAGTATAAAATATAAGTTTTGATTATTTTTAAATATTTAATATTGAAATAGTATGTTAGTATTTAAAGAATTTGTTTTGAAACTAATTATGAACTTCACTTTTATGTGAATGGTACTAAAGAGTTGAATGAGTAAAGGAAAATGATGGAAAAAATATAACATTGAGTCGTATGATATATTCTTTATGTTCTTTTGTTTTTAATACGTTTTTTCTCTTTTAAATCTCATAAAGACATCGGTACAGTGATCACAGATATACAAAGAGGCTTATAAAATAAGGTATATAATACGCATTAAGCTAATATCAGCAACGTATTTTGAAATCTTTTTAAAATAACGTGGTTTTAGATTCACATAAGATTAAAGATAAAGAAACATCTAATCTATTATTTTGTAAACTAAATAGAGACAAGAGAAATAGATAATTTCAAACCTTCCACTAAACTTCACCTTAATTAGTCAAAAGACTTGAGTTTATTGTTAGAGTAATCATTGCATTACATGAAATTGTAAAGCTTGTACAAAATTGATTGCTTAACAAACAATATATAAGATTAACTCATCACTAAAAATTAATTTATTTTCAGCTAATTTAGTAATTATTGTCTATTTATAATTCTACAATCATCTGTATATAAATATTCAAAGTCAAAGTGTGATTATTCCACAATTTTACTATACTTTTTAAATCGTCTTAACAGACTGCAGTATGAATATTTCCTTTGCTAATATGATGTATCTTAACGCAACCAATTGAAGGTAAAGACGATTTTAAACATAAAGTAAAGTTATTATTCTGTTTGTAAAAACAATTATTGTGATCCAATACTAATTTAATTCAACACTATTTGTAGTCAAAACGTCTTGATCGAAAAACTCTTTGGCAATTTGGTCTTTGACGATGTGCCCGTAATTGAGATTTTTTTTTTAATTCAAAACTAGCTGATATCTTCGAATTATTTCTATTTCTATATAAAATCTACACAGTAGTGTCTTCGTGACACTTGTTCAACGTAACACATATCACTCTATTTCTCACTTAGTTATATGATTTAAAATTTTCAGTTTAAAATATCAATATATATTATTATAAATATGTAGAATATTAAGTAACAGAATCTTCGGCTAAATAGCGTGACACATTTTGATAATTAATATTTATATTGAAAAGCCCACATTACTACAGGGAATCAATAATATAATTATAGCAATGATGAACATTTTTATCGTATATATATGTATTAATCATATATTAATGATCGTTATATGGTGTAATAAAAATCATTAATAAAACTGTAAAGATCTTCGCCGAATAAACTGTAACATTTGATTAAAAACTATAGATATATGGACATTATCTATGATTCCTCTTAATATTAGGATCACAAAAATACATCTAAACTCTCTGTTTAACCTCAGATCTCCAATTGGCATTCTACAAAGATAACTTTTTACAACTTCAACGTGTTTTATAGTGGGTGGGTGGTTTATAGACTCGTCTGTGACTTGGCGATTGTCTTTTATTTTTGTTATTATCATATAAATTATTAATATACCTGACCTTTTTGTGTGAAATGTATGTATTATTTATTCTATGTATTGTTTATTCTAATATTAATAAGGTTTGTTGTTATAAATTATTTTTTTGTTTATGTCAAGCAAAGAAAGCTAATATATATGAAAGCAATTGAACATCAAATAATATTGGTTGCACATACATGTAAGTTTATGAAATAAATTTATAATGGTAATATTTTCTTATTAAATCTGTTTTATTTTTTTTACTATTGCATACAAAGTCAGGTCATAAACATATATTTTTTCACACACATCTACGAATCAATCTTTAGTATATAAATTTAATAAAAAAAAACATATATAATTATTTACATTGATGAGTGACGAATCTCTCTTAAAATAAACTTTCATAAAAACATAAAGAGAAAGCTTAAAATACAATTATATGATAACAATGTAATGTTAATTTTCTTTTACAAAGTCGAAGAAAATTTCACAAAGGCTACTTTATAATAATTATAAAAGATCAGTGGATATTATGTTCCACCTTAGAAAATTTTATTACTTTTCCACGTTTTTATTATTAAATAAAGTATACGTATAAATGAAATAAATTTGAATGTTAAATTTGCGATTAATAAAGGTGTTTCAAAAATAAATATAAAAATTTTAATAAAATAGAAAATTTTGGAAGGTTGAAATTTTGTTTAGATTTTAGCACCAATCAATCAATAGGCATTCAGATAATATCATACTTGATTCATTGGATATTAATGGAAATTACCATTAAATTGCATCAAAAGGAAAAGTGATTTTATTTCGTCACGGCTAGGTGTTATTTCTAAAAGTTTGTTAAATAAAATAAGACAAAGGACTAAGGTTTTAATTATAGAGAAAAAAAAGATGTAATTCTAAAATAGGTTTCATGTGATCACAAAATAAAAAAAACAGCGAGAGCGCTCATTAGCTCTGTATTAAACCTTTAAAGTAATCTCTAAGGTAAAAACATTGATTTAATATTATAAAAGGGTAAAAGATTATTGAAATTTAAAAGCGTATCTTTTTATTATTTAATTTAATGGCCATTTTTTTATAATAGATACACGAATTTGCATATTTGATTAGATATTTATTAATTGATTTGAAGCTTGGTCTAAAACGGAGGTAAGTAGTTCATTAAAATATAGTAACAAGCTATTAAATAATATATTTTAATTACATCTATAATTACATATGAAATCCTTTCTTTTTATTTCCTTATAAATTATGGAACTTTATCTAATATGAAAGATAGATAAAATAAAAGATATATTAAACAACTAAGATTACTCGTACATACTTCCTTAGATCAGAATATCTTTTATATTAACATTCCGTTTAAATATACTCTTAGTTAATTTTAAATGTGTAGTTAAAATATAAGTGTTATGGATAATTTATATTATTTTCCACACGTATGTCGTTACGAACAAGTCTAAGTAACTTTCCAGAGAACGACATCAAAGAACCAACGTTTTGGAGTGAAATGTGACATTGGGTTTAATATACGGAGGTATTTTTATTTACATGAAAGAAATTTTGCAGTCATACTTACGTCAGTGTCATATAAAGGATATTTTATTATATATGTCACTGTCTCATCATAATAATTTTAATAGTAATATATTGTTTAATGTTTCCTATTCAGAAATAGCTTTGGAATTAATCAAATAACTTTTTTATGATAATTGTCGCTAAAAAGTTTTTAAAATAAAAGGATATCAACTGAAAATTACAATTGTAATTTTCGTGTGTGTTTTTTTATATTTTAAATTAAATGATGTACAATAAAATATTTTTATAATATTTTTTTTATTTTTCTAAAGCTGAAAAAATCTCCTTCGTAAACATTTTAACAGCGATACTTAAGTTAACAATAAAGACGTAGTATGAAGTTGTTTATGTAATAACTCGTAAATCCGTGTATGTCGCACCTTATTACCTTAAGTACGTGACAATAGTGTACAGTGGGTAAAAAAATTCAGTATTATCATCTATATGTACCTATTGAAATTAATGCAAAACAAATCTACACCATGTTTTATGATAAAAAATGTTGAAAAGAATGCAGTCGAATCTAGGAAGAAGCAATTCGTTTTTATTAAGCACTACCACTTTTATATTTATTTAATTACAAAGAGTTGTGTTGGCGGGTGTACATTAGTTTATACCGAAAAACCTCTGGATAGTGCCTGAATAGTGCCATTATGTTTAAGTTTCTTATAGCTAAGTGCAAAGCTGTGTGAAATTTAACAGACACGTTCATTCCGTTTTCTTCCTGTTTTCGTGATGGACATCACAAATTTATTAAAACTTTGTTTCTATTTAAGTTTGTGGTGTATAAAAAAATATTTAGTGTATATGTATTATTGACGATAATATTTAAACCAATAAAAAAAGATTTTAAGCCGAGCTGCTTCGTAAATCGTAATCAGTGATACTTTTATGAATATACATAGTTCATCGATATACTTTTCTAATATTCTTTAGCTATGAATATCACGGTGCATCTGGCTTTGGTGCTGGTGATTCTGCTGTCGGTGGAGTCAGCTCCTGATGGAAGGTTCAATAGGAAACAGGAGCGTCCAACACGAGGCTTGGTAAACTTCAACACTCTAGCAGCCCGCAGCTTCGGAAAACGTGACAGGATTGAACGTACGTCTTATAATATAAGTAATTTTATTTATAATATACTTTTAAGTTATACTACTAGGTATTAATATAACTGTACTATTAGTTTCTTTATATAATATCAAAGTTCTTTCATACTAAGAGCATAAGTAAGTATTATCGTTGTTCATAAAAAAAAATTTTAGTTTGCATAACATTATATGCACTTTGTAACATATAAGGTGTTAAATTTTAAAGGTGAAGTTTCACACTGGTGCTAATGGAGCGTAACGGGAGCTAAAGTTTCGTAATAGTATATAATTGATGTTATTAAAGATGTTTATCGTTTAATTCTGTTAAGGCGACGTCAATCAACAGACTCCACCAGAGCGCACTAATCGTGGTACACCCACATTTAAGAGCCCCTCTGTTGGAATCGCTAGAGATTATGGCAAAAGAACGCCAGATATGGAATCGGAAGGTATCACGGAGAATTTAAACCACTGGCTGGAATGATCACAACAATGTCACATACAATGAACAACTTGGAAAATAATCCATTTATCATTTAAGAACCTTCTGACAGGGTTTCTTATGCTTCTCTTATGTGTTCAGGAAAATATTACCAACAGAGTGTATTAATATTATATGTATAACACCCTTAGAACTGGTATTTAATACATTTACATTTCAGTGTCATGCTGGATAAACTATACGATACTTATGTACGTTTTTGATATCAAAATATATCCATAAGCCATGCTGAAGTGTGAATGTTTAAACGCTTTATATTTATGGCATACTCGTACATGTGTGACAATCACATTACATTAACACTTCACACGGCATTACACTGTCTTGATCCCTCAACAGATGAGCCGAACAGGAAAAAATTTCATTTGAAGGGCCCATTGATGGTCGCTCCGTACTACGGGAAAAGGACTGATAATGATTACTTAAGAGAGGAAGGTAAATTGCTTCCAAAAATCAGGCTTACAGATACAAAAAAACGGCGCTTTCAAACTGTGTAACGCTTCATGCTTACTGTATTCGGAGTGAGAATTACGTAGTACTAAGTTTATGGTGCATATAGTTTAGTTGAAAGTGTTATAAACAATATAAATTTCTAACAGAAGAAGTTGTCAGAGTGATAAGAGGAAGTTTCAAGCCAAATGCTAAAATACTTATTGCACGAGGATATGGCAAGAGACAAGAAGAGCCCACAGGAGGTAATTAAAGAAGAAAACATTCAAAAATAAATAAATTTAAAGATCGATTTAAATTAAGATGATAAATCAATCATACTTACTGAAGTGTTCAATATATTATATTTTATGAAGGGATTAACGCCTTTCATGGCTTTTGCTTGGTAGAGTTGATAAGATATATAAAAAACGAAGAATTGCTTAATCAAGTATGCTTAAATATGAAAGCATTGATTATTATTTAATCGTTTTCTAACAGAGGAAGAAATTAGAGTGACTAGAGGAACATTCAATCCCCATTCTAATGTACTTATTGCTAGAGGATACGGAAAAAGGGAGTCAAGAGATGAAGGTATCATAGGCAAAAAAACACTCACAAAATTGCCAAAATACCACTAAAATTTGGCAAAAATGGGCTTAAATACTTTATGACACATACGTTAATAAATTAATGTGTATTTATTGACTACAAAATTCCTTTGGGACGGGTTCCGTACACTAAAACATGAAACTCGAACAAAAAAACTACTCATATATGGCTCGCTTTGTGTAAGCTTAATTCACACATTTACAAAATATGTGTGTATGCGTGCGTATTGGTAAGATGCGTTAATATGGAAACGCTTAGCTAGCTTTTGTAATTATACTAAGAGTATTTTATAAGCATTACCTGGTATAATTTAATGTGTGTCTTATCCCTTACAAATAAGACATATTATTGCTTGTCGTACATTTTATGTGTTTTACAACACATTTCGTGACTCTATTGTATCAGAAATGTGCTAGCTTATTACCTATTATGGGAATGTCATTGTGACGTACGGAGATAGTGATATCGTCAATTATTTTGCTTTTACCTTTTAATTGATAAGAAAACTTACTCAATTAAATAAAGGTGGCTATTTATAACTGACCAATGTTTATGTGATTACAAACTGATATGGAATATGGATAGTTTATTAAAATTTTATATGTTTTTAGAACACGGGCCGAATAATTTTTGGGAAAATCTTGAAGCTTTGCAGGATGGCGACAACGGTAATGATGAAAAGACGGTGGACAGGTGAGCTAATTGTTAAATAATAATAAGATATTTAAAATATAGTTTCAAAACTCTATTAGAAAGGACGTTGGATTAGGTTTTTATGTCTCTTCGTTTTCATAATAAAGTGATTCCCCTCTCCATATTGCTATGTTTTTTAACTTATCTTTGAAGCGTCTCACGATAATACCATTCTTAAAAATTTGCCATATTTTAAGTAACTTATAAAACTTTATTATTAATATTTTCTTATAAAGCTTTTAGCTTAAACAAAATTTTATCCTTTAAATGAACTTATAATAACTCAAAGAAAACCCAAGTTCTTGAAAAACATACAAAATACTTTAATATTTATGAGGATCCATTAGATTTTTTTTTTATATGGAACTTTTAAAATTATCCTTCTTTAACGAATTAATTGTGATAATACCTTTATTGAGTATAATTTAATGGAAAACCGAACCTTTTACTTAGGTAACTTTATATAATCGTATATAATATATACAGGTTTATTATTATGAAAAAACTTAATGCAACCTACACGATTTATTCCAGTCTTAAATAAATACATGACGATGACTTGAATGATTGTATTTACAGAATGTTTAAACGCATAACTGCCAAGGAAAATGAAATGACAATTTGTCATAAGAAATATAAGCGTTACAAATCTTCTATTTTTGTAACAATATTTGAACCAATCACGTTTTGTTTACACACATTAGCACAGCTTAGATATGAGTTATCGATATTTCAAATGGAATCATATTATTTTGTTATTCTTCTGGCTTTCGTATTATTTTTAGCTATTCTTATAATACGAATTTATTTGTAAAGAATATGTCATGATTATAAATTATTACTTTGACATAGGATTGATAGATTTTGTATCGGTACTGCAATATCTTTGTGTTGGTTCATGTAAGCATTTTGTAAGTAACAGTGCTTTTACTTATTAGTATATTATTGTCACATTACTTTTGTATCATATAGAGTAATATATGCTTCTATAAAGTCATATGAATTAATAGCAGTCGGTCAAACCTTGAAAGAAATTCTAATTGTATTTAAATACGTTGAAAGTTTCTGAATTGTAAAGGAATCTAACAATAATAATATATTTATTATACAGTACTTGAATGACTTAAAAAACTTGGGTGAACTGAAATGAACCTAGAATTTAAAACAAAACGTGACGAAGCTGAAAATATCTAGAATAACTTTTTTTTCAATAAATGAATATTAACTCTGTTGCACTGTTGGGCTTCTTTGGCTTACTTTATTTATGCTAAAGTTTACAATTTGTTTTCGCAATCTCTGTTTATGTTAGTGAGTTTTGTTTTAAATCTAAAATGTTCGTTACTGTAAGAGTAAATAAAACTCGTATTATTTTTTATTGCACTAAAGCTACATTAGTTACTATTTCAATCATATTAATACAGTAATCAAATAATCAGATTATTTCTTTGTATTTTGTTATGACGTCAATTAAAGATTATACAAATATAGTTTCAATACATGATAGGTATTTACAAAAATAAAAGGCTAAGAGACATAACTTCTACACTCTCTACTCTCATAAAAAAAAATACGGCTTATATGTTTGTATGAATATTTTATTTTCATAAAAATAAATAAAAACTTAATAAAAATTTGTACTATAGAGCATTATTAGTAGATTCAGAGTTAGTTTGCGCATATATTAAATATTTTTTAATTAACTTCGACTTATATAACATCCCAGATAGTAAGCTTCTATAAACTAGCGAGTACCTTTCTCTAGTGGGTAGTCACAAAGTTTTGCTACCTTGTCATGCTTGCAACACATCATTGTCTTATTCTATACAAAGAAAAATGACAATAACTTATTATTAGCTTATTTGTAGGTCATTCTATATATGATCTAATGTTGAATAGATGCATATAGATGTTTTAAATTAAATTAATCCTAAATATATTTAGAAGAAATTGTTTTGTATGGGAGAGGCTTATGGAAGTGTATAATATAAATAATAGTAAATATGTACCGTAATTTATATACATATAGATGATGAATATTTTAACTCGAATAGCATGTAAAGTTCCTGTAAGTGTTATTATATTTATATTGTTACTTAATTTTAATACAGGGTTATAGAAGGTTAAGATGTATTTTAATATAAGTATGTGCAGTAATTTATATATAGATGATGAATATTTTAACTCGAATAGCATGTAAAGTTCCTGTAAGTGTTATTATATTTATTATTACTTAATTTTAATACATATATTCACAGTATTCCAATGGATTGGTTCGTCAATGAAATGATAAACAGCCCCGATTTCGTCCGATCTGTTGTACTCAAATTTATTGATCTCAATCAGGTAATCTTCATTTTTTATAATAAATTAATGAAAATATATTAAGATATCTTTATATACTCGTATATACATCGTCGAAATATAGTTTTATTTTATTCAAGTTGTTTACGTAATTATAACAACTTGAAATATGAATTACATTATTAATTGTATTTCGTTATTATTATTATAATATACTTACTAGTAAACCTGGCGAACGCCGTTTCGCCACCAGAAGGCTTTTATATAACATTTCGTTTGGTGATTAAAAGATGAAGAATTTTTTGTTTTATATTTGAAAAGGAAAATTTTTATTTCATTTCACAACAGTAATGAATTCATTTCGATTACAAAAATGAAGTGTTATTTAGTTGAACTTCTCTAAGTAAATGAAAGTGAATCCAAAGGAGATACCGAATCGAAGCGTTATACGTGTCCGCAAATTATTCGTTTCATTGAAGTGCTTCTTTGTAAACCACATTTTTTGTTTTTGTTCTAACGTTAACACAAATAAAGCGGATGGTTTCCCAACTCGTGAACACACAAACTATAACTGCCCATGTGAAAAACAATGATTTTTTAAATTTATCCCGCAAATACTAAATTACATATATGTCATTATACGTCAATCGCATAGCTGTCAATTGTGTTTCGTTATTCCACGTTTTATAGTGACTGACGTTTCATGTCAAGTCCCACGGGAATGCTGTCGAACGGGATAAAAAGTATCCTATCGCAATTTCCTGGTTCTAAACTACCTTCCTGCCAATTTTCAGCTAAATCGGTTCAGCCGTTCTTGAGTTATAAGTGGGGTAACTAACACGACTTTCTTTTATATATATATAGAAGATAGATATAAATGTAATACGTCACATAAATTTCACTATATTTAGTATAAACATGAGTATAATTTCACGGGTGACTGATGTTCATGGAGAGGTCACTTGTTAAAATGGTCTGTTTTTGTTCGATTCCACGTTTATTTAATCAAAATAAACTTTATTTTAGTTGTGAAATGTAATTCTGTTGCTAACAGAATATTTTAACGTACACACACAAACCCATGTTAAAATACGAATAATTATGTATACAAAGATTGAAACATCAACTTTTAATTCCCATTATGTGTATATTTATTCTTTGCTAAGACATAGATTTTTTTTAAACTGAATTAAACAACCAAAGTAATAATGTTTTATGTACGTTTTTCTTGAATATTCTTTTAATAATATACAAAATTATTTAAAAAAATCCTTGTTTTCAGGACGGCATGCTCTCAGCGGAGGAACTTTTAAGAAAATATTAAAATGATTTCTGTTAAATATCGTGATTCTCTCTAACCCAATGATTAGTTTTATATAAATCTTTTACTGAGTTATAATAATTTTTGTAACTTACGGCACTGTGATATATTAAATATTGTTTCATGAATATATAAACGTCTATTATTATTTATGACTTAACAGATATTAATACTTTGTAAATACTTCAGAAGTGTCTGTAATTTTCGGTGCATTCGGTTCATTTCGGTGCATTGCAGATTGCCATGATTCTTTTACATGTGCTATGTTAATATAATTCTTATTTACACTTTGTTTATTTGATTTATCCGACTTGTAACTATTATAATTATTTTCAATGTACAACGTTTGGTTTGGAACCACAATGTTAGCTGGATTTATTCATTTGTTTAAGAATCTTTGTAGGAACCTTAATGCATAATAACAGCTAAGTACATAGATTTTTTCTTTTGGTATCTTTAGTAAAAGTTTGTTATTTACTCAATATTAATACCTTCTTGAGTTCTATATTAATGAACAGTTACACTCAATATAAATATGAGATGAAAGACTTGACAATTGTTGTAGATTTCTTTTTTCTGTCTCACTGTGTTTATCTGTAGATTATGTTAGGGGAAAGGCATAACTTCAACATTGTAAGATATTTGTTATATAGGCTGGGTTTATTGTGAGTCAATTCGCAAAAATGTATTTATAGGTAGTTCGAGAGCTCTACA